GGGCCCGAAGAAATGCGTCCTACTTTAGCCGGCAATTTACACTGGACCCTTTGGTAAACAAATTCAGGCAATGTGTTAACCGACGCCTGCGCAAAATGGCAAAAGACTGCGCACCACTTACTTTCACTGATAAGGAAATTCAGTATGTCATCAACAAAGTGAAATCGTCTAAATCCATTGGCCATGATGAAATCAACATGCTAACGCTCTAGCATCTAGGCTCAACGGGAGTAAGCTACCTCCCCAAGGTCCTCAACCTGTCGCTGACCACTTTTCAAATACCTGATGTGTGGAAAGTCTGAAAAGTGATCGCACTACTGAAGCCTGGAAAACTCGCCAACAAAAGGGAGTTCTATCGTCTGATAACTGTCCTCTCCCCAGTAGTGAAGAAACTTGGGGCCTTTCTACTCCCGACCTTCATTCACCACCGTGTGCTTATCGTACAATAACACCCACATGCACATTTCCTTTTTAAGGCTGGTATACCCTTCCGCGATTTCAGGGTATGGTTGGATAGCGCTGATACTCCAGATTAAGTATATATATAGTTTTCCAGATATTTGCATTTAAAGTTGAAAATTTTGGAAACTTCATTTTGCAATTTCTTGATCTATAGTAACTTTTTCTTCCATATTATGCACTTTTTATACAATTACTCCCTACAATATTTCTACATATTTATTATTTAGATATTTGCTTAAAATAAGCATTTTATTTTGACACAAATTTCATGCTCAATAACATGTTCCGTGTTGTCAAATAATAAGTGTTACCATATCCCAAACGATTTAAAACAATAAAGATAATGAGAATTCTGAAAGATTTTACATTACTCATCACACGATAATGAATTTAGTTATGACATCAATATCTTTCTTTTTTCTTATTTTTATTCCATTACAAAATATGGTAACACTAATTACAACCACTTTCTTATTTTATGAATAAATGGATTTTAACTATTTTTGCTCTATTTAATATAAAAAAAATGATTAGAAACGAATTAGGGTAGTGTTGGTGGATATAAAAGTATAAAATATAAATGTAAAAAGCATTATAAGTCGGAGAACCACGCATTTTAAATAGTTGATTTTTTGAACTTTAAATGCAAATATCTCAAAAACCATAAGTCAGCGGCAACTATGTGTATATATATTCTTGATATGGAATCAATCTCCTCTATCCATACATACCCATTTTAACCCCGAAATAGGGGATTGTTTTCTAAATCGCAGCCAAAGTTATTATAAAACGAGAAATTGCAAAATTAAATTTGCGAAATTTTCAACTTTGAATGTAAATATCTCGAAAACTTTAAGTTGGTGGCGGCTATAATTTCATATATTCTTAATCTGGATCATCAGCCCTATACAACTATACAGCTTTTAACGGCAATATTACGCTGATGCGGATGGATAGAGGAGGTCCTCAGGATTAAAAAATGTCCACACATATACCCTCCTCAGACTCATCGTTTTCGAGATATTTCTGTGTAAAGTTCAAAAATTTGTAAAAAACAATGCTCGTTATTTTACTATGTTCAACAGATTTTCACACATTATTCAATTAATATACTTTCAAATGTATCAAAAATTTACACTAATTGTTTTTAAGAAAATAAATATATTTTAAAAACTATTTTGCACTTTCAAACTTTCAAGAGATTTGCGCGATTACATTTATGACAAATAGCAGTGTTGCCATACTTTGTGTCCTGATAATATAAACAAAAATTTTTCTATTTCATATTTAGAGATATAAATGATTCAAAATTAACTATTGTTTCATATATTTATGTCTATTATATAACATATATTATTTGAAAAATATAAAAAAAATATTAAATTGAAACAAAAATAGATCACATTTTCACAACTTTGTCTATCACGATTGATATTTGTCATTCAGGTGACATTTCAAACGAACGGATACGTTTATATTCTCGTTCACGTATGTATGTCATAATTCGAAATACAGCTATTACGTGACGAGTGATATGATCAAGGATGTAACTATTCGACCCTAGATCGATCATATTGTGATGGATGGACGACACTTATACAGTGTCCTTGACGTGGTTACGCTCCGAAGACCTAACAACGACAGCAGGTACGACGTCGAGAAGTTACAATTACAACAGACAGGTTTTCTACTCGGCTTCTCTCTTCTCTGCGAGTAAAGGAACTGTATAACAGCATTTTAATGTTTTAATAAATGTCGAAAGAACAACTGGAGAAAATTAGAGCGGGAGAGAAAGCAGACATCCCACCTCGTAATGTTGCGATGGACCACAATACGAGCCGGGTGGGATAGATACTGAAAGTTGAAGAGGGAAGGAATACAAATATTTATGCACT